TATTTATTCCTGTGAAGCATTCCGTGTATCAGCTGTGGTGCAGATGTGCTTTGAGGTGTGCTGGGCATTCTTGGGCTTTTAACCACGCAATAGACGAAGCCACCCTGGCCACAAATTTGTGATTGCCCAAATGACTGAGAAACACAAAATGTATCATTATGGCTGCTTTATACTTCCACAGACCAGCATGGACCTCCGTAAACCTCCTCATGTATTTCTAAAAGGCCACATACATCTCTTCTAATAAAAAACCTGCTTTGTGTGAAGAATTTCAGTTCATTTCTGGAGAAAAGAAAAAAAAGGATGATCAGAAATCTACCTTTCATAATTTACTTTCAAGCCAGATGCCCATATTTGCTAGAACGTTAATTCTGCTTTGTATTCAGTAAGACAGTTTCAGTTTGTTTAGGGCTGGTTTCATCGGTCTCTGTCTCTATTTTAAGACTTAGCATATTCTGCAAGGAGGATGCATTAATCTGGTTAAGAAACTATAACAGGTATTTCTAGACTGGGAGGTTTCACTCACTGAACCCCAAGGGAATTTTACTCTGCTATTGTGCATTGAATTTATGGCTTTTTATTTCAATTGAATCAGAATTGTTATGCCAGGGATAAATTTGTCCCGGCTTGTTTACTGGCTTATTTGAATGATTACACAATTGTCACACTCTAGGAAATCATTCTGCTATTCAAAGTGTAAGGCTAATCAGAATTTTCTCCTTGGAAATAAAAGATTATGGGTAAACAACATAAAGGAGAACAAGGCTATATTATATCATGAAAGCAATCAAACACTAATCCATTTAAGTGCTCAGTTCTGAAGTGGAATAACACTGTGCATGGTATAGAATTAGGAATCAAGTATACAAGATACAAAGAGATCAGTCTGTACAACTGGAGAGACAAAGTAATTAGACAAATCACTCTCCAGTTTCTGTAAGAAATTCTTCTTCCTATTATTTGTATGCTGAATTACTGTTTGCACAGCTTTTTGTGATTTTCTGTTAATACTGCAAGAGACAGTGTAATTATATTTGGTTTAGAAGTACTGTTTCTATATCAACACTAGTATTCTGTTACCTAATTATCACTTTGAATCACTCTACAGGAACCTTACTAGATTTCATAGTTTGGTTAGGTGATTTCAGTTGAATATTGCAGGCATCTGCTTCAGTTGAAAAATGCCCAAGAAGGGACATTGGACTGTACTTGGCTACATTAGATTGCATTCAAGAGCATGAAGAGCTGTCTGGAGGTCTTCAGTACATCATCAGTCATACAAAGTTTGCTGTCATTTCTTGTAGTTGCCCAGCAACAAAACATCCAAACCCATATGTTTTAATGAATGACTCGGGAAACAGACAACATAAAGGTAGGAGACTTTAAAAGTCAAGTCTTGAAAACATATTTTCAACACATCGAGCTGAATTTTATCCTAGGAAAATTGTCCTTTCTCTAGTAATATTTAAAGAAATGCATTGTAAGTCTATTGACATTTAAGCTGTGAATTAAATGCTTCTACAGAGAATGACTTTAGATCATAATCAACCTCTAGGTGACATATGTTCTACTTAAACAAGTTGAAGAAATGGTTTTGCCAAGAAACACATTCTCACTTTACAAACCACACAGACAAAATGCCCTTAACATACACGTTGCATCCCGAGGTGGAATTGCCAAGACATTAAAGTACATCTTCATTTTTCTTCTCCTTCACCACGCTGGGTTTATATAACTAAATTGCTCCCCAGCCACGCAGTGCTGTTTCAGTAAAATGTTCACAACTACTCAAGTCTGTTATTCAGAACACAGAGCTTAAGAGTTGTAAAACAGCTTCTAGGGAAGCCGTGCCTGCCTAAATATAGGTCACAGTAATGAGGTTGCAATGTTGCTAGAAAAAGTTTGTCAAAAATGATCATAAGCTGATGCAGCCCTGGATGGCGGTGCAGGATTCATCAGCACTCGGTGCATAACAGCTGTATCATTCAGGTGAACATGACACCAAGTAGAAACGTTCCAGCTTGTCACTTGCGAAGTTTATTGCTCACGAAAGTAAGAGATTGTGGATTAGCCTCTCTCACATGCATATAGGCACTGTGACCTCACAGCTGAAGTCAGTGCCAGCACAGCAGGTGTGAGGGCACGCATTGTCTCATGAAGTAATTGCAGTAGCTCATCTCTTTCTGTTCATAGCGTGCAAACCCAGACAAACAAACGTCTTTGAGATCCTCTGTATAACTCAAGATACGACTGCAGGGCTGGCTCTCGCCCACGGGACCTGTGGGGATGTGGCTGAAGAAGGCTGACCACCGTGCCCCGTCCCCGCTAAATGGCGCTTGGTGTTTCCCAAGGGCAGCTGAAGGCTCTGGGAGCCGCAGCCCTTCCCGGCCAATGAGGGACGAGGTGATGAATGCCCCCATGTATTACAGGCGCTTCCTCTGCATGTACCGGAGCCACGAGAGCCACCACAGGTCACAGCAGCCCGCTCTGAGAAAATACAGCTAATTAGAGGAATTCTGGGAACCGGAATCCGTGACCTTTAATGATCTTTACTGACGTTAGCCAACCGCCTGATGCGGGCTCAGGCAGCGCCAGGCGGCTCGGCACAACGGGAAGCGCCGGGAAGCGGCGCGCTCCGCCCGCCCGCCCTCAGGGCCCCTCCTGCGGGCGCGGGGAGTGAGGCGGCCGTTGTGCCGAAGCCAGGCGCAGCCGCCGCTAGGGGGCCCTCGGAGCCCGCGGAAGGGCCCGGCTCCGCCCGGGCTGCGGCGGGTGTTTTCCCCCTCTTAAATGAGGCCGAGAGGTTGCCGTTCTTCTATTTTTAAGTACGCATTTAGGCTTCTGACACATGGAGAGGCGCTTGAGCGTGCTGGGGGTGCGGAATCCTACCCAGGGGTGTGTTTAATATTTGCACAGACTGCGTGCCACTCGATGGAGGCAACAGCGAAACCAGCCTGAGCCCCACAGCGCTCTGAATGGGTGCAGCGAGGGGAGGGAAAACTGCGCTGGCTTGCTTTTGGACCAAGATCAAAAGGAGAAACTGGAAAGTAATAACAATGTAGAAACGTTCCCAAATTTAGCAGCTTTATTTTATTTTTAAAAAGCGTTCAGCTAGGGCTCCAGGGAGCTGACGCAGCCTTTCTGATAGAAGTGATTTAATATCAGAAATCTGAGATAAAACCGAGTCTGTGTGGGAGGGAAGGAGACGGGGGTTTAGATGAAGAACAGTCCTTGTAAATCAGGACAAGTGAGCAGAATGGAAGCGAGGACCCACTTCTTACGGCTGTGGGTCTTCCACAAAACCAAGCTTTTTCTGCAAAGGAAAAACATCCTAATTAATTAGATTTATTTACAGCAACTGGATTTGGGATCAAAATAATTGCCTTGAGACCAAAGTGCAGCTGCAGTGTGCATTCCAGATGTGAAATGAAGCAGCATGTTACAGGTGATTTAATTTTTTAATTTTAAACTCAGAATTGGTCAGGATCAGATCAATCAATAGATTCATAGCATCATCTGCATTCATCCAACACAAAGGTGCTCTCACACTGCCCAGATAATCACACTGCATTCCAGGGACAAGCAGGGGAGCAACTTCCTACCAAATTAAAAAAAAAAAAAGGCACCCTGAGAATGGTTCTGGGATGTAGGGAACTTCTGCACGGACCACAAGATATTAATTTGTGTTGCGGTTTGAAACTCAACTGGGCAACCACTGACCTCCAGGTAAGCAAATCTGCCAGGAACCCTCTGCTCCTGAGGGCCCCTACCAAGCTCCCGCTGCCTCCTGCTGCACTTCCTTTACAGGGTACACATGGTTCCCTTTTGTTCTTCCCATGGTTCAGGCAAAAAAATAAAAATGGAAGAATACCTGTTAAAAAAAATTAACTTTGCCATTTTCTTCAGGTACCCAATGAGACCTCAATCTTCCAGGAGCATCAAACATTCTGTGACTCATCTAGCTTCTTTTCCAGCTAGATAGTGATAACGAGTATTTATTTTTCTTAGTATTTTTTAAAGGAAATGTGTTCTAAATGGATATGCTGTCCACTGATTTCTTCAAACCATCAGTCAATCTAAGTAAATTGATGTATGTCATTTTGCTTTCCCTTTGTTATTCTTTCTTCCATATAGCTGTACAGAAGAATCACAGGCATGCATTGTACAGCCCCAGTCTACTAAGATTGTTTTAGCTATCAGAAGTGACAGTTTTTAAAACTGCAGCTGGTTTTAATGCTTAAATGTTTTGCACCTTTTTACCTCCATTTTAGATGACTGATGAATCACAGAATCGCAAGGTTGGAAACGACCTGCAAGATCATCTAGTCCAACCACCCTCCCATTCCTATCAGTGCCACAAGCTACTAAACCATATCTCGTAGCTCCTCATCCACGTGCCTCTTGAACACTGCCAGGGACGGCGACTCCACCACCTCCCTGGGCAGCCATTCCAGTGCCTGACCACCCTCTGAGAGAAAAAGTTTCCCCTAATATCCAATCTAAACCTCCTCTGGTATAACTTCTGGCCGTTTCCTCGGGTCCTACTATTTGCCAGGGAGAAGAGGCCAAACCCTTTTGCACCACAGCCCCCCTTCAGGAAGTTGTAGAGTGCAATGAGGTCTCCCCTGAGCCTCCTCTTCTCCAGACTAAACAATCCCAGCTCCCTCAGCCACTCCTCATAAGGTTTGTGTCCAGACCCCTCACCAGTTTCGTTGCCCTTCTCTGGGCACATTCCAGGGCCTCAATGTCTTTCTTGTAGTGAGGGGCCCAAAACTGAACACAATACTCGAGGTGCAAAGTACTACATACTCGAAGATGTAACTGGTCCAGGTTTTCAAAGGCCAGATAGTCTGAGTCCTCATAGGAGAAAAAGGCAAGCCCCTTTCTGGAGCTACACAAAGCCATTCACTGCTTTTGCTGTAGAAGGCAATCTGGGGTTGTGCACACAATGCATAAAGTCTTCTGCAGTTCATTAGGTTAATGAGAATGAACTATGGGAAAAATTCAAAGTTTAATTATAATGTGCTTTATTTCCTCAAAACTTGTGCAAGCAGATGCCAAACATTCTTATAAAAAGACCTCTGCAATGGGTTTCCCTTCAGTGCTGCCTTCACATCATCCAGTGCGTGGAGGAACAGGCCTTGCTATGCCCAGGGCATTGACATTCTGCAACAGATTCAGCAGTAAATAATCTGAAAGCCTATAGTGCCTAGGAAGAAAAAAAAAAAAATTGAGCCATTTTGAGCATTAGCTAACAAGTGATCCTTCTGAAAGAGAATAAAGAATACCTACAAGAACTAAACCAGTTCCCCACACTATCTACTGCAGGTTATGGTATCTTTGGGAATAGAAGTATCACACAAGTTTGAATGTTCACTTAGGTAGTTTTAAGCGTTAGCTTACTGGAAGAAGCCTTAGCTGGGTTGAATGGTGCTGGGTACTACTAGACAACCAATCACATTTCACATAGAGGTAGAAAAGGATGTTATGGAAAGGAATGGCGGTGCTTACCCTCGAATAAAGAAACTTTTTCGTTTTCTCCTTAATGTGACAGGAACAGCTGCTATTCCTCTCTGTGAGTCTGAACACTGAAACAAGGACGTATTGGGGACATATAAAGTTTCGGAAAGTGGCATAAGAAGAGTAGCACAATGACAGAGATCTAAATATAGCCTAGCAAGAGAAAGCGTGAAGTACTACTGTTCTGTTTGAGATAAGGCAATTGCCTCGGTAAACCCATTTTTAAAATATGGATGTTCTATCATTGCAGAAACTGTATAGGGAGCATTTATATTAATGCTACTCGTGTAATGCTTTTGCACGTATAGATACAGTTGTAGGGCATGTATATTTGAACAGCAAAATGAGTTTATCCAACAGTAACACTGGAGAATTAGCATGGTGCCCACATCCTATGTGTCTCTTTATCCTGTATCTGTGTTGTGAGTTGTGTAAAAACCTGATTTTCTCAGCCAAAAATATAAAGCAGTTAACATCAGGCTGAGAACCTTAATATTGCCAGACAGATGTTAGCCCCAATGGCTTGACTGTGACAAGGACTGTGGCACTTCCAAAGCAATGCTCAGAGAAAGCACAAGGGAGAGTGTGTGCACAGTGAGCTACCCTTGCCTGCTTTCCTGAGCCAGAGTTGCATTGAGACTGATTTCTTTTTTTTCCACCCCTTTTCTTAAATTTTTACTGGTAGACTAGTCCTCCCTGAATTTCTGTAATGACTTCTTGAGTTTGTCTACGCTTTTGGCCTGCGCAGCAGCCTGTGACAGTATAATTATGTACTACACAAAGAAATACCTGCTCTCTCCCCTTAATTTGACACCTGATAATTTCAGTGGGTACCCTGTAGTTTCTGTGTAGGGAATCATCATTACCTCGTCACCTCTTCAACACCATCCATTGTTTGTAGCCTTCCTCATTAACCTTTTTCTAGGCATTAGACTGATCATTATTCCCTTGTAGAAACTCTTTTTCCTGCCTTGGACCATCCTCACTGCCTTCATCTGTGTTCTTCAACTTTGGCCTTCTGGGAGGTGGAAGGACCAGCCTGCATGCAAGAGGCTTATCCAGCATGGGCAGGCTTAGTTGAAACAAACCATGAGAGTGGATTACAACCTTGTGCAGATTTGTTTCTGAATAGGCTTGATAAAAATCAAAGGTTCTGAGTCACAAAAGAGAAGTGGTAGTCATGTCTCTCTCTCTCTCTCTCTCTCTTTCTATATATATATATATATATCAATTCTCATAACGGCATTAGGTAGTGAAAGGAATGAAATCTGAGTTCACATCTACTCATTTTTGAGAAGAGAACTGAATCAGTTCCTGAGCTACAGGCTGATCTGGACTACGTATCTCTAGTTCCAGCTGCTCTGTTTTTCTTTTCAGAGCTCTTTTAAAGCTGCTGGAGTAGGATTGAACCCAACTCACTTTCCAGACATGTCCTTTTAGCACTCAGTAAGGGAAACTGTTCCTTCCTCATGCTTGTCTCTGTGTGTGTTTTCTATGAATAGCAAATTACTGGGTGCACTTAGTAGCTGTTGCTTTACTTCTTTGAATAAGTCTGAGCTTACATCCTTGTAACATGATGGAAGGTGTAGCAATGACAACAGAGCAGCAAGGTCACAGGCCACAGCAAGTAAAGACTTGCTCAAGCACAACAGCAATGGGCACAGAAATAAAGGAAAGAAGCTGCTTACCTTCAGAAGGCCTCAGGTATACAGAGATCTCCAGTCAGATATCATTGCCTCCACTGCCAACCCTTAAATGAGGTGTGGGAAGGGTTGGATCCTGGGTCCACCCCCTCCAGTCACTCAGGTGCATTGCATGCACCTGAGCTCCCCTGACTTGGTCCTACCTTCCCACTAGGTGTTCAATCACTGGTTCAAGCCCTGACTTAGCATTTCCACTACAGTCCTCCAGAACATGAGGTCAGAATCCTAGTGTGTCAGGGTTGTTTTATCAAAAAGGTGCAGTTGCTGATGGTGTAGTTTCTAATTGCTTATCTGTACCTGCATCCTCATAGGCAGTGGCTGCAGAAGCCCTGCTAGTTGTTGCTCAGGAAAGGAGTTGTTTTTTTTTTTTTTTTTTGTGGCAAAATGCTTGTGGCCCCACTCTGACTACTCAGAAACATTTAGAAGTTGGGAAGGAGGCATTTCTGAGCTCAGCGCAGCCACCCACGTACTCCTACCAGGAAAGGTGCTTTAACAACACTTACACAACAAAGAGCTTGTCAACTTGGAACATTCTGTTCATCTTGGAAGCTATGATATAATTTCTGCTGTGCATATAGTCCAGCAGCTTCTGATCCAAACAACACACAGCTTCTGCAACAAACCATGCCTCAGTGCCTAGCCCTCCCTATCCTTGCTCCTCTAGGCCCTTTCCTGCCAGGCCTTTGGAAACAGCCATAGGAATCCCTTGCAATGAAGAAGGAAAACAGCCTTTTTACTGATTGCCTTCCTGCACTTGAGACAAAAAAGGGACATATTTTGACTTTACAAACATCTTAGGTGAATGTAATTAGGGACAGTGTTGTTGTCCTTCAATAAGGCATGATGTTGATGCTGATTGGCCAGCAGTTCTCACTCTGCCCAGCACCTCTTCCATGGGGCTCTTTTTGTCTTGAAAATAGGCAGGGTATTTAGCAGCAACAGAAGTACTGCTTTCCCGCCAGTTTTAGATCCAAAGGTTTTCATAAAATGCATATGCTTGATTGCCATTTACTTTCAACAAGGTGCTGTTTCTGAACTAGAATGCCTGGATGATTTCTGGTCTCTTTAAGCCAGCATAGAAAATGTTTTGTCTTCCAGTTCCAGTTCTGCTTGTCTTCACACTGGACTTTTAAAACACACATAAATCAGTGTTCACAGTATAAAAAATGGAAAAAAAAAACCCAAAACCAACTTGTTGACAGGTACCTTTTTGTTTTGGGGAAAGTTTGCATTTGCTTTTAAAACCACAACTTTTTCTGCAGTCTCAACAACCAATGAGATGTTACAAGTTGCTTGGGGACACAGCATTTGACCTGCACATGACCCAGAGTTCATCTGCAGTGCAAGAAGAGCTAGCTGAGGTTTGCACATCTCCCTACCACATACCCTCTGGACATAGAGATTCATATCTCCGCATCTGTTTTATCATTCCTAGCTCGGCAGATGATACTAAACAATCTTGCAAGGTGCATGGCAGTCTTTTCCTTTCCTAAGAAAATCCTTGGCAAAATATGAGGATCTAGATGGCGTGAACATGAGCAGCATTAACTGCTCCAAAATCGGTACTCCTTCAAAACACCTGAAAGGCAGTTTGCTGATCTTGTGAAGATTATTTCCTTTGTCCTCTTCCACTATTAATAAAAGCCCAGGCTCTGCTGCTCCAAACATTTGAAAAGTATTCCTTTCCACGTGATCTGTTTCAGAAAAAAGAAACTGAAACAAGAGCACTTCAGGGATAAGACCCATAGCTCAAGCATAACCGAGGCAAAACCAGGTTGCCTGTTACAGCGTTCTGCTAGAGGATCATAAGATCACTTAGATTGGAAAAGAACTTCAAGATCATCAATCCCAGCTGTCAATCTGATCTACTGAGTCCCGTCACTAACCATGTCCCTTAGTGCATACTGAACTTCCTCGGACTGGAATTTAGCCAATTCTGCTATACCATTCCAAAATGGTACTGGAAAGTGAAAGAAAAAGTTGCCAAGCGCACACTGTTAGAAAAGCATCCTCAACCTCTTCTATTCTAAGACAGCAACATCTTTTACTCATCTCAGGTACATGCCTAGAAGCCTCATAGGAATATAGCTGGCAAAAGCTCCTGTTTTGATAAAAGAGGAGGAGTCAGGACAAGTCAGGTAGTACCTGAGTTGAATCACTCTGAATATGCCTAATTTTCTTCATTGATTATGTTTTCAGAAAAAGAAGCGAAGCCTTGCTCCTCGTTTAGTTGCCCTGGTGAAGTGGCCAGGGTCCTGCTGGTGGAGCAAGCCCTGCACTGAAGCAACACCAAAAACACTCAGAGAAACAGAGCATTTAAACAGAAAGAAAACAAAATAAAGCAGTAATCATTTTAAGATGACAAATCAATTTGCCTGCATGCAACACTGAGCCCTGTGTAACAGATAAAGTAGGCGAAATGGTGTTGCTCAGTGTGGAATAAAATCATTCCCACAGTATTAGCTTATCTTCCAGTTTATAAAGTGCCACAGAAACAAGCTGTGGAAACCTGGCACCTTGATGAACCTCAGAGGCATAGTGAGGGATGGAGCAGGGCTGCAATGCTGAGGAAAAGAAGGCAGAGAGGGAAGGAACAATGCAGAAGAGGAGCAACGTGGCAAGGAGAAGGGAAAAAAAAAGCTTTCCACCTTTCAACAGTGATGAGCCTTTGATTCAGGTTGTTCATATCACAAAATTGTACCCAAAAGGACCCTAACTGAGATGTCTTTACTTTTTGTCATTTTGAGCTCGTGGTAAACACTCATAGGATATTTTTTCAAAGGAACAGAATGAGAGCAGAATGATTTTTATTGATCCAGAAAGTCAAACTACACAGGACATGAAAAAGTATAGTAACAAAAGTTTAAAATCTCTTCTGAGAGCATCTCCTTCTCCGTTTTGTTTTATTTGTCCTGATACTGTAGCTCTTTTCTGATATTTGTTGTCAATTTTCTCATTCAGAAAATAAAATATAGCAGTCTGCAGAAACTCAAGAGATTGCAGTGCATGGACAAAAGCTCACCAGATGGAGGAAAACAGATTCTACCCCTACTTTTCCTAATATTTCCAGGTCTACTTAATTTTGTTTTCAGCAAGAGTATTTTCCAATAGCTATAATCCTAATAATAATAATAACAATCTGATAAATAATAGAAGAATTATTAGCTATATGAATGCATTGCAAAAGGAAGTACACAATTTTTTTTTACTTGATAGTATTGCATTCAAGACTGTAAATGCTGCACCAGAGAGATGGCAGGAACATTGTTTCTGATTGTTTGCTAAGGCAAATTGTACTTGAGGTTAGGAAGTACCTCACCATATCAATTTTAAATGCCTGAATTAAATTTAGCTGTGGAAAGGGAAGAAGAGTTCAGGATTACATGATCCGGGGACAGCTGTGCTATGGAAAGCCTATTTCTCCATCTCTTAGCCTTCAGATTAGAATTTAGCCCTACAGGTGATGAAATGACTAAAAATCCTGATGTAAATAACTCAGTGAAAATGGGAACACAGGACTATTTATGTAAAAGGAGAATGCAGCAAGCCTGGGAAGCAGAGCATCTGCGTATGACCTGATAATAGCATTACCTTTGGGATAGTTACATGTGCAAGTACGCCTTTACACCAGTAATTCAGCTGCTACCTTGTAGCAATGTAATTACTCTTTGAAGACAGGCTACAGTTTCAATTCATTTACATTCTAAAGAAATTTATTTATTTCTTTGAATAATAAAAGCCTTTTCCATTTCTTAGTAGGTCTGAAGATCTTGACAGGGCCAGTGCAAGCTTGAGAATTCTGGGCAAAAGTGATGGCCCTCAAAGCACCATAACCATAACATAACCATAACATAAGAGGTTTAAGACCTCTGTCTCATCCAGAGAATCAGAGCAACCTGCGACGGACAGCTCTGTGGACACCTATCCAATCAGACGTGGTTCTATGGGAGGACCAGGCATTCCTATTTGCTAGCTTGCAATGCATCTGTTTGTTAAGGTGTTGGTTTTGACTGGACCCTTGCGGACTGCTGGGGAGCAGCATCCCATCATCAGCAACTTGTAACGAAATCTGTTGGCTGCTGTAGGTGGGAGACAAGAGCTCTGCCTTCTCTTAGCAGATCACTACAAATCCAACACAGGACTTAGTGGTTTCTTCACTCAAAAATACCAACAGACCTGGTAATAAGAACATGGAAGACACAACTCAGTATGGATTTGGATGGTGTGCAGTCATAAAGACTGCAAGGAATATGTTTTCTGAATGGATTAGTGAATCCATGTTGAATAGGAAGCTGTTCAGTAGATGCCGTGCACTGCTGGACACAGGACAGTGTGTGAAAAAAAAGCAGATATAAGATTAATGAAATGTGACTATCAATGGTTGCAAAATGGCTGTATGCAAAAGCTGAAAATCTTTTTGTCTAATTTTGAGCTGTACTGAAACTGCTGTCCTAATCTAAACTAATTTCTTATGCCCCTGTGGAGCTCTGTCACCTCATCTGGACATGCCAATCTTCCCTTGCAATTTTAGAAGGAGTGCAGAAGAGTAAATGAGGCTGGAGAGCAACTTTTAGATAGCTCAGATTAGGTGAGATGAGTTAGAAACACATCCCAGGGGTCAAATTATTGCTATTAGGCTCATCTGAATTCTGATATTTCCCAAGATTGCTGTATCCTTCAAGAGATTTTCTGGATGCATATGGAAGGGATCCATCAATTCCCAGATTGCATCAAAATTATTTACACCCAGGCTGCTCCGAAAGCTGAACTCTCTAGAGATCAGAGAACTGCTAAAATGTTCGAGTTCTTAATAAAGCATTTCCAGGTGAAAAAATAAGACATGTCCCTGCAGACTTGATAACCTCAGTGGCCCAACTGTTTGAGCTGTTCTCATTGAAGGTGTTTATTCTTTTAACAAAGATTTTTCACTTTAGTGGAGGTGTTGCAAGTATGATGTGGAAAGAGCTTGCAATATATGATTTTGAATAGTGTCCTTCATTGCCTAGGGGCCTTAAAAGCAGGCCCCTCTGTGTCTGCT